TATTCTTAAAATTTACTCTAAATTTAATACGCTCCACTCTTTCCATTATTTCTATCAATATTTCTATAATTAATCAGTTACGTGCGTATCCGCTTCCTTCTTCGTTTCTCGGAAGCAATCAGTTGTCAGTTATCAGTAGCGAAGAAGGAAAAGTCATCACAGGACCAGTCCTCCGAATACATTACAAACAGGAAGGTGGTATGTTAGCCTTGCTCTGGCATTCTGTCTGGCTTAGGATACATCCTTCCTTACTCGGGCAAAAACTTCAATCTTAATTTTTTTTTTCTGTTTTATTTTTTGAGTGAGAAAGAGAGATCACATGAACTAAAAAATGACATCCGGCAGCAATTTAAAATTGTTTACTTTCAATATGGAAAGGAATAAACAATATTGCGTTATTTTCTCTACAACGATTCATTTCTCGATTATCACACATTTTCACCGCATTATGATGCATTTGCACCATATTTTTAATTATATCTTTTATAATTCATGCAATTCATCATGAGATATTAATGTATCAAATTTTTCATAGCTAACAATTCATCACAAACTAACAAATGACTAAAAATTTGTTCCAAATATCTTTTTTTGAAAGATAAAATTTAACCGCACGCTGTTATGAAATTTTGAAATTGAAATATCTCAAATAATTAATATTAAAAAAAAATTTTTACAGGCAATATTCAAGGAAACCAAACGGCCATCACGGGAAATGCAACTAACAATATCACAACAACTACAATTGGATCCTACAACGGTTGCGAATTTTTTCATGAATGCCCGTCGTCGTGGTCATGATCGTTGCAGGCAAGAAGAAGAACAACAAGAACAACAAGAGCAACAACAACAACAACACCAACAACACCAACAACAACAACAACAACAACAACAACACCAACAACACCAACAACAACAACAACATCAACAGCAATTACAACAACAACAAGAACGACAGCAAGAACAGCAACAGCATCAATCAGAACAACAACAACAACAACAACAACAACAACAACAACAACAACAACAACAACAACAACAACAACAACAAGTGGTACTTAATTCTAACACAAATAGTGAAACAATTCTCGGTCCTATACCACCACCTCCACCTGTTTTCGAGCAGTTATAAAAACAAACAATTAGGTACAGATTTCACTATTTAATTAATGACTATAACTTCTCAAATTTTACAATCAAATGCACATATTTCTACTTTATCAAAATATTTTTATCGTCGTATCTTCCAACGATTTGATAATTTTTTTTTCTTCCATGTACATTGTATTAAATTATTTGTAAATCATTAAAAATGATTGAAAATATGTTGCAACATCTGGAAAAAAAAATTGTTCAATACTACACCTTAATATTATCAGTTATTTTTTCTCAAAAATAAAAGAAAGAGAAAATTTCAATATTTTTTTTTTCTGAATGAATATCGGATATTTGGACAAAACATAACAATCTTAGCAAGTAAAACTAGTAAATATACAAGTTTTAGTAACAGTTTAAAATTTTCATAAATTTACAAAACTATTCGGAATTATGAAATGTAATTGTATTAATTAACTTAACATAAAATAATCATATGACTGGCAATAAGGAACATTTTCCAAAGTGGAAAAAAGGGCATTTTTCATATTTGCATCATTTTTTTTTAAATAGATCATTAATGTTTTTTTTTTTTGAAAATCCGATATTCATTTATTCAAAAAAATGCTAAAGTTGTCTTTCCTACGTTTTTTTTTGAACTTCACAAAAAAATAACTAATAATGTTAAGATGTAGTATTGAACATTTTTTTTTTCGCAAAAATTTTACAACATATTTTCAATTATTTTTAATGATTTGCAGATAATTTGAATATTCGTTTCACAATACAATAATAATTGCAGTTTATTTCATTTTTTGACTTCCGAAAAATATTCATTGACATAAATAAGATTTTTTCTTAAAAAAAAAAAAGTGATATAATCTATTGTCAACATAAGCCAACTTTTCGAAAAATTTTGACATTTGAATGGAATTTAAATGCAAATTTTGCTAAGTAATAATAATGATATAAAATTCATTTTTTAGCTTTTACTGAAAATTTTCAATCACTATTTCTCTCTTATTTTGTCTTTCGGTTCGCTCTAGTCATTCCATTTTTGTGATTTTAATTAGAATCATCATAATGATTTTAGTATGTCAATAGTAAACTAACAATTTTAATATCAATTTCAGAAAATGGCATTTTTGATGATAAGTCTTTTAAATTCAATCATAAATCTCTTTACCAATCCAATTGTTACTTCGTCTCCTTTTTTCTCTTTCTCTTTTTTTTTTAAAGCTTCTGTTGTTGGTTTACATAATTGCTTGTGCCATTCATTATTAGTTTTAAACTCTTTTTAGCAACTTTAAATGGCATATCGTCGAAAATAGTTCGAGACAGAAAACGGCTAATTTAAATCTGTCCGTATTAAAAATATTTCAAATATACACATAGCTTTTTTTTTTTCATTAGATAAGATTGATCAGTTTCTTTTTTATACAATAATTTAGATTGTTAAATTAGTAATATTAATCAAAAATTATTGTATTATAGTTGAAAAAAAAAAAGATTTATAGAGGCAAAAGAAACTTTAAAATTTTAGATAAATTATAAAAAGTAAGATGACGATTGTCGAGAAAATTGTA